CAGGGTTGATCGTGTTGTTATGCGTGTTGACTGGTATAGGTGTTACGATGCACCAGTTTCAAGTACCAAATCCACGAACTTTGCTTCAACCTCACTATGTCCAGGCATCAAATGCACATCAGGCCATCGTATTCGAAGACAGTTATAATCGCCCATAAGTAGCAAGTGTGGACGACTCATGTGGGTTCGAAGATGGGTCAGCTAATCCAAACGACGACTCAGGGGATGCGATAAATTGCGCCCACAAGTAGTTCTCCACGCCTGTGGCGCATGGAGCACCACAGTAGCTCACACAAAACATCGTCAGTTCGATAGGTGCTCACAAATCTCCCACGCAGGGCAGACCGGATGTAAAGCAAGACACCGCCGCGGGCATTCTTTAGTCTATGGCATCGGAAGCACGAATAACCGTTGAGTTCAAGGTCTTGGGTGTATAACTCTGAATGCAGCCATGTCTCTTCGAGTCCCACTACGTCTGGCCGCTCAGACGCAGCGAAACAACACAGCTCATCGCGCTTGTTCATAACTCTGCAAACGTTTGTGAAAGCTACTCACAAACCGCAGCAGGAGCCGCCGGGCGTGCTTGAAGTGTGAGCAGCCTGTTTATCCTGATTCGCAGATTGTTGGAAACCACCCGAAAATTTACGATACGAAGATTTGTTTCCCCCTCAACAGTACATTTTTTCAGCTCAATGATGGCAGACTTAAGCCGCTCTCTGTCTACTCGGTCCAGGTCTGGACGAACATGGATCTTCAAATCTTGCAGGCTACTTGGGTGGGACATGATCAGTCTTGGACTGGTTTCGTCCACAAAAGTTATTCTCATAGGCCGATTTTGTTGATCACCTTGCTTCCCAAGACGGGTTATTTGCCTCACTTTTTTCGAGTCCTCACCAGCATCGAGGAGTCTGTCAATTAGACTAAAAACTCGACATCGTGATCGTAGCGTACTTAGGGAGATGGATCACTGGACTCCGGTGCGTAGAAGATCACGAGATTATAACGCCTCTGGTCGGACGAGGTTGACCTTGCAGGCGAAGTATATTACCAGCCTTACGTGGTTTGGCTAACTGTTGACTTACAGAAGTTAAACGCCCAACATCCCTTCGTAATTTCGCTCTTTGTTCTTTACACTAGTCTTCAGCACTCAGACTTTCACCTGCTGGGACATCAGTGCCTGTTGGACATAACAAAGGTAAACAATCTATGCCAGGTGAAACTGGGCTTCTCACAACGGTCGGACTTCGTGCCGGTGAGTTTTCACGGGTAGAGCAGGAAGACTGAGCTGAAACCTAAAGGTTTTTCGGGCTAGGTTGTTGGACCAAACACACGGAGCTGTTCGCAACGGAATGGTGAATCCTACACGTCGGCTTTACTCTTCCTGGCTGTATCTTGTTCCGGCAATATTTACATAAAGTTTGAAAGAAATCGTGTTGGATCTCACAGAGACGATGAAAATGCTCAACTGATAATCCAACACATGAAATGTGGTATTTAACTTGGCACAAAACACGCGTGAGGACATTTGCTCTGTATCCGACTATCTTGGAACAAGTACCACAGGGTGATTGCTTCGGCGTTGTGAATAATCTGAAAGCAAGATGGCGGCTAATTGTCGGAGAAAATGGCAATAACAAGATCGCCGAAACCAAGTGCTGAAAACACAAGTATTTCTGGTCAGAAATTTTAGAATCAGTAATGTAACTGTATTGTACCTAATTTCCACGAAATACTTTCAATAAATAAATAAATCCAACACAAAGTGATCTTGTCAACACAGCCAAAAAGTGTCTGCCTGAACTACTATAAACTTGCACACATCGCCTTAGCTAATTGTAGTTAACTTCGAAAACATTTTCGCGTTTGTGGCATTTTCTTAAGATATATTTTCTCACGTCTTGAATCTATCGCGGATTTGTTGGCAACCAGTTTATTTCATATGCTCATTTATTGAATAGTTATTTCACCGTATCTGTATGCATTATTCGGTTTTTTCTTTTATATCGTCGTTACAAGTAGTTGGCTGTTGGTTGATATCCCCGGTGTGGCTGCGCATGATGTGAATGTTGGCAAGGTGCCTACCTGTCTATTGCCCACTTCATCGTCCAGGAGACAGGTAGTTGTTGCTGAACGGGACGAAGTTCACCGTCCTTGTGGTCATGTTAGGCTCGAAGAGTGGTTTCATGCACCCAGTGTCAAGCGGACTACGGTTCAGCCACTGCCTTGCGTGCGCTTGATTCCCCAGCTACTGCGTGCTTGTGTTTGTCTGTAAAGGAGTGTGGGCCGGCTCTGTTGATGAAATTTGGCTCCCATCCACATACCTTCTGGCCTTATTCCTTCGGGTCTACACTGCATATGGGGTGTGGTTAGAACTGTTGGTGGTGCAGCACAAGTCACCCATGGTCCCCTGTAGGCGCAGGCGTTTTGTGGCTGCCACAGTGGCAGCCAAATCCGGATACGGATGCCGCCATTTTCGTGTGTTACAGTATCACGCATTCATGATGTTCGAGGATTATGGCGAGTGAATGTGCTGGGCGGGAATTTTAGTAGTGGGGTTCCTCATATCTAAGCAATGGTTTTTATTACTTGTCTTTGTTAACTGTTGTCCCATGGACGTAAACCGGCGCATTCTGATCAACAAACGGAAATAAGATTTATTGATTAAATCGATATTATCATCTCCCGCTGACGCTCAATCCGACTCCACTGGCCGATTTCAACGTGTTCCGAGGTTTCAATTCAAAGTAGGCTCAGGGAAGGGGTTAAAGAACGATAGCATCAAGATTTACAAGAAATAGTTTTAACACGTTCGTCGGTAAAAAAGCATATAGTGTAGGCAAGTCTAGAAGTGATGAATTCAATCGCGTATATTCGCTGGGAATACATAAAATTTGACATGTGGTTTTTATACTTCCGCTAGCAGCTCATGTTAAATGTCTAGATATACTGCAAGCTTTTTCCTGGTTGAAGAATGATCTAACATGAAAAACGAACAAACCAACAGCAACAGTCTTTGAAACTGGATACATGCGCGGAGTCACGTCACGGATTCCTGCGCGTTTGCTGCATATCACAGCTGCGCCATATGCTATTCGAATGCGATGAGCTTCCTGAATCTGAAATCCACAAAATGGGTCTGGTACCACAAGTTTGTACCGGTGTGTGCGCTCACGTGAAGCATCGGCCTCAACGTGGGGAAGTGACCGTAATGCAATATTCGGTGCGTCATAATGAGGTCAAATCTAAACCGACCGTACGACGTAGGAATAGAAGAAAAAACAAATGATGCCTCAGAATAAATTCTGAATTGTCATACGAAGTGCGAAACGTGTAGTATAGCACACTATTCGCAACACTTACACTCTGCGACTTAGTGCACTTAAAAGACTGATTTTTTTCAGGGATGTATACGCACGTCTGACATGGTTCTTAGGAGATGCTGGTTGATTCAACAGAATGGTTCCATTTCATCTAGCTGCTGAGGTTAATCTAGTCCTCAACTGAAATACAAGTATTTATGGCTAATAGACAGCTATGTCTAAGACAAAGAATAAGACAAGTTGTCGAAATGTTTATTTGGCTGAAACCTGCATAGGCATGGTTTCGACGACTACGGATCCATAAGATCAGGTCTCTTAAGTCTGGTGGATTATTTAACCTCGTTTTATGACGTCATACTGTTTAACTCATCACTATTTTAAACGTCTTAGGGAAAAGCAGTCAAGTGCTTCAATGGAGATTGAGCAGGAATATGCCGGTATTTGATAACGCTTGGATGCCTCACCTGTCGTTACATCTGTAATTTTTCTGGACGGTGCTATTCTAGTACGCTAGGCAGAACGAATGAGTAATAGTTTAAGCCAGGAAGATCAGGTTTTCAGGTATAAAAATGTACTACCTGTGTTCACCATACGCTCACTTTCAGTGCTTTGCCTCCAGAGTACAATGACCTTATGTTTGTTACCTCCCGATTTGCTCCAAAGTGTTTGTTATTAGAAGAGGTTCATAAGCGTTGTGTCGCAGGTCACTCTTCATCTCTACATGACTGCTAACTTTAAACACTAAACTGATTAATACTGACTAGTAAGTCTGCGACCGAAGACTGACAGTTATTGTAGGCACGGTCCACTCTGCATTTGACTACCTCGAACTGAATTTGGTTGTCCGGCCACTGAAATTGTTATCCATGAACCCTAGTTTTGGCTTGCCTCATGATGTTCTTTTGTGTACAGCCTTCGTTGTATCGTTTGCAGTCGTTGGGATACCTGCAGAGATCTTTCGACACAACCCATACACCAACCGTTGATCAACGCGATCTCCAACCCTGAGCATTTTACTACCTTGCTCTTGCCTTGCCGAGTTCTCAGTGGCTGCTGTCGCCGAAATGTGAGCTCAATCTAGAGTAAAGATACAACAACGCCGGGTAGCGCAACAAATCGTTGCAAAATGTACATGCACAATTTCGTTCAAATGGCTCCGCGTTGTTCCATGAATTTTCACCTTCGCCGTAGTCCCCTAGTGCCTTTTGCATTTCTATTCAGTCAACTTGTGTCACCTCTTATCACCTACTTCCATCCACATTCCATGAGCCCTTTTCACATGTGCCCACGCTCTTTGCCTCGCGACACAATTCCATCCATTGGTCGCAGGTGGTTATGTAAGCACATGGAGTCTCCTTAGTATTTTCGTGACGAATCCGTAGCCACCAAGGATTTTCTCGCACGCATTCATCGTGAAAATTCTCAGTTGTTGTTGCAATGCCCACGTGTTGCTCAGTTGACTTGTCCGTTTGTACTCGTCCATGTTCCCATTAACCACAGTGTGGGGTAACATGCGTTCTTGTTACCATAGTGCCGCTACCCAGCAAATTTCTCACCTCTTTCGGCGTTGCTTCAGCTTATTTCGCTCGTCAGTGGATTATACTTTAGCAAACAGTTGGCTGTCAGATTCAACTGCTCTTCAACCGCATCCCCCTGCTTTTCTCCATTATGCTGTCTCAGGTCGATGCATTGATAAACGAGGCGACCGACGTGGATCAACTATGTCAAATGTACAAGGGTTGGATGCCATTTTTATAAACTTTTCACTCCCAACACCCTCAAAGTGTATATTCTGTATGCATCGAAATTTTATACCATAGATTGTATTACATTTTTATTCGATTCCGTCTGTTTCTTTTTTGATCTCTTAGTACTTACTGGGTTATATCCCCCATCATTTCTTCTCTATCTCCTGCATACATCTCTTAGGTTGGCACATAGTGTTCTTTCATCTTCGAATTCCTTGTTCTCGTTAGGAAGGCGGTCGCATGATCACGTTAAGTGGCAGATGGTTGGAAATTTTCAGGTGGTTTCGTCATATCTGGACTCAGTTTTACAGCGAATACGCGCCTGGGAAAGCACTAGACGGCCATTTCTTCGCATCGAAACTCACTAGCTTTACACGTACCCCTAGTATGCTTTGCGATTTGAAACCGTCAACGCTGGACTGTTATCCAGTGGTTTATGCAAGGAGTGCGGTAGTGCTTTGGTATATTTCATTGAAACAAATCCGCGCACAGAAACAATTGATTAGTTACGCAGAATGGCTGCAGCGGAGATGTATGGTGGCAGATTGTTAGTACATAGCTTATCACCACATCCGCCTGCGGTTGAGCAATTGGATGTTATGCAAGGTACTTTTTGTAAATTTGCTAAAACAGTTTGAATACTTTTTCGAAAGCCGAAGGTAGGACAGGACGCAGCGGGATTTATTAGATGTATCATTCCTGTGATCGCGTCAATGAGGCCATCAGAGAATGTGTGATATTACCGCTTTCTAACACATATAGCACTCAGCCTCTACAGTACACCCTAACGATAACACATCACTGTTTCACTGTATCTCTTATTTGTGTATCATTCCACCTGGCAACCGTGTTGATAACATTTGCTTCTCTATTCCTGTATCTGTCTCTATGTATTGTTGATGCCCACACCGGACTACATTTAAGGCGGCCATTTAGATTCTAGTCCAAAGTTCAAATCCAGTGTAAGTGGGACTGGAACGATACGATGTATTCCCTAAAGTGTTCCTTCTTGAGCGGGTCGTCGACTGACATAATGAGACTTGTTATGTTCGCCAATCGCTGTCTTTGCTGTTTAGCCCATGCCTGGGCCATTTCTTAATTGATTACACCTCCATTACAATCTCTTTCATCCGCACGGCAGCAGCTTTTCTCCATGGCGCAGAAAATATACTCCGATAGTCGCCGAGATTGTATCCAGGACCACTTCGAATGGTCAGTCGCCGTCAGCCAATGGCATTCGAACAGTATGCCAAATGGCTGTTTAACCACTTGCTGCGGCACAGAGCAATCGCGTTTGGGGCGGTGGGAGGTAGCAAAATTTGGTTACACTGGAGGTAGACCCACCCAAGTAATGAGACATCCGCTTGGTCAAACACAACTAGTCGGCGGTTGAGGCCTTGCTACACGGATGTCAGTCATCCGCTCTTCTAGTTGCGCATGTAACTGCGCGCGCTAACATTGGATACTGGGTATGTAGGAGGCAGGCGCTGGTTAACGAACTGGTCCAAATCACAAAGCCTCGACGTAGAGTCAAGGCGAACTTTGCACACTTCCGGAGTCAAGACGAACGCAGTCGCGGCAGTGAACATGTCCACATTACGGCGTCAAACCTGAAGTTATTAGGGGGTGTGGTTAGGCCGGTTGTGAATGAACACAGATCGGTCTCAGAAAGAGAGTTTGAGTGAGTGAACGAGATTTCCGTTTGAGGCGAGAAAACAGGTGAGACAAGGAGGACCAGAGTGAAGAATGTTGACTTGGTATTCTAAAAGGCTCTCATTGAGGGGCAGGACGGTTACCTCATTTTGATGCCATCGAGAAGAAAAAGCCATTAGCAGTAAGATGGTGCACAATACCGATGCCTAGCTACCGCGCAACCACTAACAGTCGCGCTTGGGATAAGGATACGGCTAGTTTCGCCCGGTCTCACACCCAGACTCACAACCGCGCCCTCGAATTGCAAAGCAGGCTTGTGATCCTTTAAGCCACGGGCAACCTCAGGCTATTCGACCGGGCTCTCTCACTTAGAGGCTCAGTGCAATCTATTGTTTAAGATCAGAGTCAAGTTGTCAGTAAAGTAAGGATGTCCAGCACAACTGAATGTCTACAGTGTGTTCAACGTAACTTTTTACTTGGTTCGATTAAATATCGCATGGGTGACGGTTCCTCAGATATAGCTACGTACGTTAGGTGGAAGATAATCATATTCTGTTATGTCGGCACCCCGCAACTGCTTCTACCCACTAACGGCAGTGAGAACACGGACGACCACGGATAAGTATTCAAGGGTTCTTTCACATATGGAAACCACTTCGTTATATAGCATGACGCACAAGCGTGAAAGCCAACCAGAGCACGGAAAGCGCGCGGTCAGATAAATCCGATAAAGACTGAACAAATAAAGAACCAATCAAGTTCATACAAAGAACGGAAAATGTGAGTGTTAGCGCTAGAGTAGGGCTGCGTTCTGCAGGCGAAAAATAACGACTGCGAATAGCGAACTGATACGTTAAGACAAGCATCGATGAACTATTAGAGCAAAATGAAAGTCTTCTGTCACGAACGGCAACACAAGCAGATCAGCATTCTATTGCTCCTCTAACGTATTCCAACCATTTGGCCCCCATATTAATCACGCTAGTCAAATCTGATAGAGGTTAGCAGAACAGCTCCCGGGCGGAATGATATGCTCACCAACTTAAAGCTAGATAAGTCATTCGGTAGATTTTTGATGGTAGCCTTACAAATTTCTTCCAAATGTGATATTAGACTCTCAGTTCTTTTACTTTCCTCCTTGTGCAACTGCGCACACACCGAAACACCTAACACACTTGCATTAGTTCGTTGAAAAAGGAGTAGATTACAACCAGCTTGTCTCGTCGGATTAAGAGTAGTGGCATCTAGTGGTCCGGTGACGGAATGCATATTGATCGATTTTTTGGGGGAATTAAGTTACTTTTGAATAGATGGCTTACCCTTCGAGTATGTTTTGTTCGCATAACAGGCTGAGCCTCTTTTAAAGTAGGGCAGCGAACACTTCAGATACAACGCAGATGAGACTAATCCCTCTGTAGTTAGCACCGTCTGACCGGGCACTCTTTTTGAAGACGGGTACGATATCTGCGAGACTCCAATCAGACGGGAGGGCTGCGGTCGTCGAAACCTCTTGGAGAAGAGAAGTGATAGACTTTATCTTTGAAAAAAGCCGGAGAGAGTTTATCTGAGTGGGGACATGGTAGCACTTTAGGAGGCGAAGCTCATGAGCAAACAGCCTCAGATAGTGGTGAAGCATCTACGCACCAGTGAATTTTGGATTCCAGGATGGGAACTCATCGGTGCTGCTGGTCAACTAAACTGCTGCTCAGAATACTCGGCCCAACGCTCGAGTCGGCGTATTTGACAGTGGATTGGTTTCGCATAGAACTTCGTTTACAGTCGGCCTTCTGCCGCCAGTGGATCGGATCAGGTGGAAAAGCTTCCGAAAATTTCCCGAGCTTGCCGCCTGCCCCATACCAATGACCGTTGCGTCCACCAGACCGGAGGAGCTGTTTGAGTTCAGCGCTAGTGGTCCTGAATAGTGCATGGTACTCAACGCCAACTGGAATTGCCCGACTAGCTACGAGAAGCTAGTACCTTCGAAGAAACTTTAGTGCAAGCATCAAGATTTCTAGAGATGATCAAATCTACTAAGAAATCTCTAGGCAAGGCGCTGCATCTAGAAATGTGCTATGTGGATTGTACCAATAAGATGTAGTCTTTCTGAAGCAGTCCAGGGAAGATGACGGGAGATTAGTATAACCATTGGGGAATAATGAAAGATGTCACAAACTCGAATATTCTAGTACGGGTACTGAAATCATCTTAAGTCTGAGGACATAAAAAGAACGTTTTCTAACTTTGGAAAGTTCCACAAAACATGGCGGGACTTTTAAATCGGCCGTTGCCTTTTTCGCCGAACGTTTTTACATTATCTACCGTAAATGTATCAGCTTTGCTGACATACATTTTATTCAATCAACTTCCAACGTCACTGAGACCAATCTACTCTATCCACGTTTTGAATGTAAACGCCGAGCTATCGTGCACGATCCCCGATCTATTGCATTTTGGCACAAAAATTTGCATCAACTGAAACGAATTTTAAAGGAACGTTTTAATGAAACGTTTTCCGTTCTTAATGGATACAAATCCCGAAGGTTTAGTTTAACGTTATGGGATCGTTGCGTGATTGACGTATAACAGTGTGCCCTTCTCATTTTTCTACCCATTTGTAAATTTAACACAGATGGTGCCCCTTTGATACATTTACAGCTGATGATGTAAAATGCTGAAAATGCACCCATTTGAGTACAGAAAGCATACATTGACTTGACTGACATGCGTGGACCGAGATAGGTTCTGGGACAAAAAGACGCCGGTACTTTACAATGGATGATCTGGGTATGGGTTTTGCGTTCACGGTAAGAGTGGGGGAGATATCTATGAGGGACTACAATTTATCAGCACGCAGAAAAGATTACATCACTGCATTTAAAACGTTAAGTGTGAGAGATCTGGATGAAGACCACTCCAGCAGATCTTCCAACCCACTTTGAAGTGATGAGGAATCCTGAATAGTGGGGGCCACACATCCCAGCACAACATTGTCATCATATTTGTATCCCATAAATCTGATTTGTACAAGGAGACGTTCAACATATAGTGAAAATAGGAAAGGTGATAAGATCGCTCCGTACAAAACACCACAGTTAGCACGGAGGACAGAAAACTTATTACCGTTTAACTTGGTGACGAGTACGATCCGTAAATTAGTCACGCAAGAGATAACACACACGCAGGTGAACTCTGTTTTCGCCTTAGCTTCATATCCCATATTTCGCGGTTTGGAACCAGCTTGGTGTGTCTCGACAAGTTCGAGAATAAACTATTTATTTATTTATTTAAGCACCTGCTTAACCCCACCCCCTTATTGTCCAATACTCGTGCGCACCTAGACCAGCGGATGGCTGAGTCCCGTGTAGCAAGACTTTAACCTCCGACTATTGGAGTTTGACAACACGTATGTCTAGTACCTTACGTCGGCCTAGCTGCTGCCCCCTCCCCCAGAGGCGCATTTGGTCTACCCCAGCTGTGTCAACATTAAACAGCCATGCGGACATATTATCCGAATGCTGTTGGCTGATGGGAGTTG